AAATGTCTTACCAAAACGCCGCCAGATGTCACAGTAGTGTATATTTCTGTATATATTTTTGAAAATCTAGTGTATTGTTCATTTTCCTACACATTTATTCACAGGTGTGTCTTTAACCTGCAAGTTGCTCTTTAAGTATGTAGCTTTGTAGGATGTAGAGTAAGAGTTAATGTTATAATGTTGACATTTCGGAGCAACATTTCTTTAGTATTGAAGAATGAGTTGGCTATCAAACAAAAATAAAATGTTTCTTTTAGTATCAGATATTCTGAAGAACAGAGAGTACTGGTTGACCGAGTTTTAAAGATGGACCTGTGAGGCGAAAGGATTAATCCCACGCTCTGTTAATCACTAATTATACCAGATGAAGCCTGAGGGAAATATAAAGCGACCGCAAGTTATTATCCGTGTTCAGGGAATTAGTTTTTAGGTTTAAACAACATCCAAGAACTTGCCAGAATTTAAGTATTGTTGATTTTACACAGTTAGTGAAGGAGGTGTGAAGTGATGTGTTAGGACAATAAGCTTAGTGGATTTTTGGGATGCTTGAATATACTTTGGAGCTGCCTACATTAATAAAACATATGTTCCCACTTGTTAACCCCAGTCTCAGGCCCACACCCACTCTCTGTGTGACAGAAGAGGACAGTCATTTAAGATTGGGCATCCATGTGTTTGTTGTTGCTCTTTATTGATATCATGTGGTAGAAATATGAGCTGGGCCTTGATGTTTCTCCACATAAATGCTTTCCTTGGTTTGCGGTACAAGGCATAATAACATCATATCCTGTCTGTGTAGTGATTGTCAACCCTGATCTACAATACAGTTGTTGTATTTTCACTACAAAGCGCTCCCCATGCCGTCATGTTGTCCGTCCCATGAAACAAAGCCACATCAAACCCGACCTCTGGAGCGATGCATTTCCTCGCTGGTCTCTTTGATCTGTGAGCTTCTGGGCCTCAGACATGCTGCCTTTCTCTGGCTCGGCCTCCCGTCTCGAGGCTAACCTCCCTACTTAGCTCCGGGCATGCTGGATTTCACTTCAGTGGTTCTCTCTCTCTCTCTCCCTCTCTACTCGTTGGGCAGAATGACGTGGAGGCGACCAAAGCAGCCCCGGTGATGAACTCTGCGAAGTCCGACTCCTCAGCATCCTCGGTGCCTCTCACTGCCTCCCTGGACGACCCGGAGATGAAGAAAGTGATGGAGAAGTGCAAGAGGCTGCAGAATGAGATGAACAAGATGGCCGACGAGAACCGGCAATTAAAGGTTCGATGTGTAGATGTATTATATTCAAGATGAAACTTTGTCGCAGACATTTTGACTTTCCAAAGTAAGACAAACACAGGTTGTCACTAATGACATCACCGAAGCTTCTGCTCTAAGACAGTGTCCCAGTGAGGGAGACGGTAAGTCAACATGTACGATACCAGGAACCTGAAATCAAATGAGCTAAATTGAATTTTGCTAATTTCCTAATTTACATCTGAGCCTCTTTTACTGTAACAAGAAACCCTTCAGTGTCAAGTTACCCAACAACATCAAAAATGATATACACGACTGTTTTTCTGGATCGATGTATCAACAAAGTGAAAACATGTAATTTCTTCAACCTGCTCTGATCTGGTGTTCAGTTAAACAATCTTTGTTTTCTATGTGGAACAAATCTGCTCAAATCATCAGTGTTTGGTCAAGTAACCAAATTGTCAAATCATATTTAAGTTTCTTTTGTGAGTTGATATACATTTCATTGATTTTTTTTTTTTTTAAATGGACATATAACATCTACTATAAATAACAGACCCCTGAATTTAGTCGGCTGAAAATCATATTGCGGCAGACTGTGATGTAACACATCTCGTATTCTTCACCAAGATTTAATATTGTGTCGTCATAAAACCTGTGACTTCCACCTCTGGTATTGAACATGACTCGGAGACAGCTTCATCCCACAGGCCATAAGACTGTTAAACACCTGAACTTTTGAAAGAACATCCATAACATTCATCTGTTTGCATCTCATATATATCAATATTCCAATTACTGTATATAGACTATTCTGACTATATTCCATTTTATTGTATTTACTTGTACTAGTTTATCATTGTCATAACTACACTGTAGCTATGCACACATGACAATAGAAGCCTTGAATCGTGATGTCTGACCGTGTTCTGCTCCTCTGTTACAGGACGAAGGTGTTAGAATGAGAAAGGTACCTCGCTCAGACCACATGACATCAAACTCAACTAGCCTCCTCGGCCGAGAAGCCAGCACCGCCTCCCTGCCCTCCCTCCTCGTCGTCATAGCAGCCATCTTCATCGGTTTCTTCCTAGGGAAGTTCATCTTGTAGACTGGGAGATGCATGCCAGCCGGATCCCC